AGACCGGTGGGGTTCTGTATGTTGCGCAGCCCACTCCTGGATCTTCGACGACCGAAAGACACCCTCGCATAGATTTCCAGCACAAAATCCGGGTCGTTGGCACTCAAGATACAGAAGCTTATCGAGGCGTGAGTTGCTTCATGCTGCTTGTATTTGAAACTGCCTTCTAATCCACTTCGCGCAGCTTCAACAACAGCTAAAAACCGAGAGGTGTGGCTGGCGCGAGGCAGAGAAAGGAGCAAGACAAAAACAGCGAGGCAGCAGAACAGTTTCGCCAGCTGAAAGCTGCAGCTGACCAAAAGATCGCAAGTCTTCTACTCCAGGTCTGAGACGCTGCTGAGCACCTTTGAGATGGAGGCGAATGAGTGAGTGCAGAAAGCTGAGAGAGCCAAGAAAGCACAAGAACTGCAAGCAAAGAAACAACAGGTCAGCTTTCATTTGCTTTGGGCAAAAAAAAAGGACTCACAGGCATTTAGGATGAATATGAAATGTCTCTCGCCAGCCTCAGCCGATGTCTTGCCATCAAGGGAACCCCACTTCCTCCACGCCAATAGCCAGATTTCCCCGGCACCCCGCTGGTGCTGACACCCTGCTATGTTCCCCAAACCACGCGCCCCCAGCGTCAGCTGGACACGGTCAACCGAAATGCCAGCGGAAACCTCCCCCACCTGAGGCAGGTCAAACAGGAGAACGACTCTGTGGACGACTGCCGTAACGGCAACAGCAGCGAAACCGAATCCGAAAGCAAGGACAATGGTGTTTCTCGCAAGGGCAAGGGTGCTCGCCTTCAGGAGATCCTCGACAGTGATAAAGGTGCCCTGAAAGGCCTGCTTAAAGAACTTATGAAGGAGATGAATGTGGGTGGGGTGACGAAATCTAAATGGAGGAGGAAAGTCTGCCGCGCCACCGACATGGACCAGGCGAAGAAGATCCAGCAGGATAAATTGACCAAGGAGGAGGACTTGAATTGCAAGGTCTGTCCATTTACTTTATTGGATGGAATCCTTTCCCCTAAATCGGCTTCAGACGCTTGTCCGTGAACTATTCCGGCTTTCGACACAACTCAATCGGGCGGCTGACTTTATAGATTACAGGCCAGCTACAGACAACCAGGCAGCGCACCGCTGAGACCTGAATGGAGAAAAACCGGTGGCTGGAGTCTCTCCATTCTACTTCAGGAAGGGATACAAGACGTGCATGTGGAATGACATACTCCTTCGCGGGCTGGTAGGCGACCTCTGGCGGAAACGAGCAGAAGATCCTAATCATTGGAATATCCCTGACGTCTCCACAGACTATCTCCTCTTGCTGTTCCTGAACTCCGTCAAGGAAGGGCGATACACATGGATTCGGCAGCAGCCATGTTTAGGAGAATCAAAGGCTCAGGTGCAGGCCTGAGCTGAACAGTATGACAAGGCCGTCAAGCAGGCAAAAAGCTCGAGGTCGCGCAAGGATACAAAATGGAAGAAGAGGTCTCGGATGGCCCAAAAGATGAAAATTCTCTGCACTGGTGACCCCACAGCTGTTAAGATTTGGGTGTGGGTGAAGAAGCTTTTGGCGCTCTTGGGTACCCTGGGAATGTCATCTGAGGATGTCAAACCCCACAAGATGCGCATCGCCGGGCAAATGGTGAGGCAGATGACACACGTTATTCGAATTTGCCCATGGCATCTGGAGACGATTACCGATACTCTGGAGTTGGTGGATATCGCTGCAGATCAGATTTCCCTGAAGAAAGGTGTATTTGGCTGCCCTAGGGTTCGTACTGACATAGTATTGAACATGCCGGCTCCCCCAGGCCTTCCGGAAACACTGTATGACGAGCAATGGATGGCAGATGGATTGGAGATGGACCCGGAGTTCATGGATGATCTGAATGTCTCAGAGGAGGCGTTCGAAATCATGGAACTTGTGTTTGAAAACCTCGGGATCGAGGTTGTTGAGGAGGAGGAGGCAGAGGTGGCAGAGGAGGCGGAGGAGGAGGATGAGGATGAGGAGATGTATGATTGATATGTCTCTCCGGTTAATAATATGCGACTTTTTATTTTATTGCAGTTGGCCAAAAAAGAAAATGCAGACTTGCACCGAATATACGGCCGCCAGCGTTGTGGATATTGGGCAACAAGCACCCAAGAAACACGGCGAGTTTGGCCAAAAGAAATTGCACATAATGAGCAACTTGCGCCTGTTGTGGAGGGTAGGGCACAGAAGGCGTTTATTGGGCGACAAGCACCCAAGAAACACAGCGGTGCTGGCTGAAAATTGTATATATTGAGTGACTTGCACCCAATATATGGCCAGCGTTGTAGAGAGTACGGTGCAGAGGGCATTTATTGGGCGACAAGCACCCAAGAAACACGGGGGGGTTGGCCAAATTATCAGTGACAGCAGGGCACATATCGAGTGACCTGCACTCAATATGTGGCGGCCATCGTTGTTGAGGTTATGGGGCAGAACACATTTCTTGGGTGACAAGCACCCAAGAAACAGACTTGGTGGTTTGGGCAGAAGTTGCGGTTACTAAACGAACTGGTGACCCGCTGTGACTTGTAACCCAACCCGTGACCTCGTGACCCTCACGACTTGTTTCTTTCCAAGTCAATTTCCAAGTGTACAATCGCTCGGAAATCGTACACCTGCAGCCCAATTCTCGGGGGTAAATCCCTCGACAATTGAAGCAAGCCTTGCATAATCGGGCCCTGGGTGTTAATCGCTCAGTGCGCCTCGCACAATCGGACCCTGAGTGTTAATCGCTCAACGCCGTGTCGTCTGCAGCAGCTGTGCTGCGTATAGGATGTTCAAATATTGCAAATGCAAGTATGTCCAGGGACAGCATTCCCTTACTCCAGAACATGCAAAATGGGTGAGAGAACAGGTGTGTCTTGATTTGTGAAAGACATCTTCACATCCTCAAATCTGTGGCAGATCCAGGCTGAGCGGGACAAGCAAGGGATCGGAAAAGGTGTCAAGGGAAAAGGGATCAAGCAAAAACCCTTGGATATGGTAGCTATCTCCTTCAGTCGCACCTTCATACACACTGACAATCCCTTGAGAACGACTTAGTTCGCCACACCATGAATGTGTCTCTCGCTGAGTCAGACGCGAATCCCATTATCTCGGACCATTCCTCTGGCAGCAACAATATTTTTTTGGCGGTTACGGATAGCTTCGAGGCAGTGTTAGCCCAAGCGCGCGCCTCCAGACCCAGGCCAAAACAGCCGTCTCGAATGGAACAATCTGATGGCCTTCTCCAAAGCATCTTGCAGGATATTGAGAAAGCAATTGTTGCACTTGACCTGTCGTGCATCACATCGCTCCCATTGGATTCAAAGTGGGAGGCAGTGGACAAAGCCGCAGAAGAACTCGAAACATCTGCCAATGCATTGCAGGTTTTCAGCGAAGAAATGGAGGAGAAGTCGTTCGTTGTACAACAATTGCACATCTTGGAGAATTTAGTGGGTCGGCTGCGCCAGGAACTACCCCCACACAAAAGGCCATACTACTACAATTGCGGTATGAGCCTTCGCTGAATACTCTACTTCTGCTGATGCGTTCCTAGAATACGTGTTTCAGGATCCCATGGTGAACATCGATGTTGTGGCGCAGCTTGTGGTGTTACTCAGCCTGGTCTGCAACCTGATCATGCATATGTCTAAAAGCTCCGTCGAATTCATCCTTCGGGTCATGACGATGATGATCAAGTACACCATGCTGATCCCTCCTTCGATGCTGCAGAAGCCGCCCGAGATCAAATCATATACGGGTATGCAGCACCTCAGGCCACCCTAAAATGACCCCCCTAGGGCCTGTTTTTTTGCCTGAGATAACTGGCCCAAAGGGGGTCATTTTTAGGTGGGTGTCCCATATAGCATGGGACATCCCACCATTTCAGGTAAATCAGGGTGGGCTGTCCCACTGTTTTCTAGTATGTCAGTGTGGGACATCCCACCTGTATACTGCCATTTATGGTGGGATATCCCACCCGCCGCAGGCAGGCCCGAAAAAAATTCCTGGGATAGCCCATGGACCCATTTTGTTGCCAGAACCCCAGATACTGCCCCATCGAACAAAATGCGCTTTTTGCAGCCATATGGGCACCGATTCAGCTTGTGCTTGGTGATTCTGGAAGCCCTGCATCCGGGCTCTTAGGCCACGTATAAACCAACCAGATCAGAGCACATGTTTTGTGCACTGATTCATAGCTTTGCACCCGCAAAATGCGCTTTTTGCAGCCATACGGGTACCGATTCAGCTTGTGCTTGGTGATTCTGGGAGCCCTGCATCAGGGCTTCTAGTCTACAGACAAACCATGCAGGTCAGAGGATATTTCTTTGTGTTGAATTGTAGCTTTGGACCACCAAAAGGCATTTTTTGCAGCCATACGGGCACCCATCCACCTTGTGCTTAGTGATTCTGGAAGTCCTGCATTAGGGCTTCTAGTGTACAGATAAACCTGCAGATTGGAGCATATTTCTTTGTGTCAAATTGTAGCTTTGTACCACTAAAAAGAACTTTTTGCAGCCATACAGGCACTGATTCCCCTTGTGCTTGATGGTCACATTTCACTTCAGTTCTATTGTGACCCAGTGAGCTTCTATGCACTTCAAACATATGCTTTTCTCTCAACGTGGGACATCCCACACATTTTTTACTCAACGTGGGACATCCCACACATTTTTCACTCACCATGGGACATCCCACACATTTTTCACTCACCATGGGACATCCCACACATTTTTCACTCACCATGGGACATCCCACACATTTTTCACTCACCGTGGGACATCCCACACATTTTTCACTCAATGTGGGACATCCCACACTTTTCTTACTCAATGTGGGACATCCCACACATTTTTCCTCTTTTGCCCAACCGCATTGTAAATGACTCCCTTCCTACATGTTGACCTCAGTGCCTCTGTAGGGCCTGTGGTAACCTGTCAGTCGTCGTGAGATTTAAAAATAAAATAAATAATAAAAATCCAGAGGGGAAAGAATTATGTCCACAGTGGGAGTTGAACCCACATCATCCTTTGTAAACATAGAGCGGTCAATCATATTGAAAGGATGTGTTACCACTACACCATGTGGACAACAAGCATACATATTCTGATCTGACTAAAGAGTTGACAATTGAGTTATGTCTGTGTTGACCACGTACTTGTTGATACAAACAAAAAAATTAAAGAAAATCAATTGAATGAGCGACATATGAAAGAAACAAAAAAGAGGGACCCAGCGTGCCACACAAAGACCTCCACATGCTTTAAGGGCAAGCTAGGGTGCAAACCAAAAGATCATGCCCCTTTTTAAGATGGGAAAAGATTCCCTGCATTCAAGGTTCCAGATGAGACTCCATACATATAAACCATTACTTACCTTGGCATTAAATTTGCTGTCTTATTCGATACGGACTTCATACCACGTCAAGTCGTTTGCTTGTCAAAGATAAGCCCCTGGCCTTAACATGACCAAACAACCGCTACAGCCCCAAAAAGGCAATTTTTCAAAAAAAAAACTCCTTTCTTTACATGTCGAAGTCATTAAACCATGACTGCATATTCATAGGCATAAGTAAAGTGTACAAAGGAGGTATTCATAAGCATACTAATCATACTAATTAAAAAAACTCCCGAACCAGCAACACCGTATGTAAAAGCACGACCTACTCGGTATCATAAAGACGAAGCCTCTTAACTTCCTCACAGTAGATCCTGCGGTCCTCCTCCGTGGCCAAAACTGGGGTGTGGTTGTTAGGTATCTGACCGTATATCGCGCGGTCCGTGTTCCACATAAATGTATGAACGTCCGCGATGCTGCTCTGCTGCACCTCTTCGAAGCCCTTGGCGTAGAAAGAGGCGCTCTTCTTGTCGCCGACGAGGAACCGCAGTTTGTGCCTGGGAGATGGGAGCCCCTCCATGTTGCGCTGGCGTTTCAACTCCTGCTCCATCGCTCCAGGCTCCGTGTCCGGCTGCTTCCTTTTAATGGGTTTGTCCTTCACTGCCGCCTCCTTCCCTCCTCTGCTTGGCTGGCATCCTCGGCGGGTTCGGACGCTGCACGAGCGCATGCCCCCGCATGAAGTCCATGCGGGGAAGCGGCTTGGACTCTTCATGACGGTGCGACGACTCCGGGCGATGGTGAGGCGGACGGTCCATCCTCGAATCATTGGCTTTGGGTGCTCGAGGGGAAGTGTCCAGCTCATGCAGTAGTTATTTTTAGGGCTGTGGCCCAACCATGTAATGCGTTATTTTTGGGCAGTTGCTGCACAGCCACAGCACAGCCACACACCGTGTCTCCAAGCATGCCGGAGCCATCAGGCGGGTTGTCGGACTTTGAATTTAGCTTAGGTATGCTCCGTGGCACCGCCACTCTGCTCGGAGCGTCTCGGGAGCACCAAGGCACGCTCAGATGGACCCGGAAGTCACAAATATTAAATAGGGGCTTACCCAAAAGAGACAGGCCCAGAACGGTGTCTCCGAAGGAAACGGACGGTGTCATATATTCAGATAGGGGCTTAAACCAAAAAAGGATAGGGGCTCAGTGCAGCGCTCGGGCCCCAGCAGCCCCGCTTCCAATGCAGGGCCTTTTCAGAACACTTCGAGCCTTCATCTACGAGCTCTCGATCCCTTCCATCCCCTCTTCGACGTCCGCTGCGCCCGCCGCCGCCGTCGGCGCAGGCGCCGTTCATAGCTGGTGCGACTTGGTCTGCAATGCTAAAAACAAAAAAGTACATTGTCAGCAGGTTCACAACCGTCTCAGCAACCTACACACCTTTTGCCAGTCAGCGCATTCAATACCCACGTGACGTCTTGAAACACCGCCAGCCACTCGCTGGTTGCACCCAGCTCCTCCCTCCACCACTTCAGGGCCGCCAGTACCCCCAAAAACCCGTTCGCCCGGCGCCTCCCACGACCCTTTGGCCTCCTTCAGCAAGACACCATCCTCGATTCGCCACTCAGGGTTCAGGCGCGTCCACCACGCCTTCCATTCTTTCGCGAATTTGCTCATATCCTTGATCTTAGGCGTCCCCTTCCGAGCGTATCGAATCCAAGTCTGAATCTCCTCAGGACGTCCCTCAGTACCGAACCCTTTGACCTAAATAACCCGTTTAGTTTAGCACGCCACGTCATACTCTCCGAATGCAAGACTTACAGGAGATATGAACACCGTCGACGACTCGAGTGACCACCACAAACCCATTGTGCTCATCCAAGCTTTGTCGTTGCCCAAATCCCCGCTCTGGAGCGTGGCGTGCGCCTCCTTCGCCCACTTGGCGCCGTTTGCGGATCCACCGTTTCCGTGCGAGCCCAGGACGTCGCGGATGTGCCATTCGTCTTGGTCGCGGTTGCGGCGGTGACTTCACGTCCTCCATCGCCCGACGCCACTGCTGCGCTGTCCGTCGTTTGCGCCCGTTCGGCGTTACTCGAGGCCGGCGCTGCTGCATCGTTGGTTGCCGTGCCTGTCGACACCGCTGCCGCCGCTGCCTGCTTACGACCACGTCCTCGCGTTTGGGGTGGCTCGGCGCGAACCGTCCCCTCCGCTCCGTCGCTCTCCTCTGCACTCCCTTCGTCGCTCCCTGTTTCCTCCGCACTATCCTCAGCATCGTCCCCGCGTCGGCGCCGCGTTTGGTGTTTCCTCGACTTCTGCTTCCCTCCAATCCTCTTCCTTTTGTTCATCTTTAACCCCGCGTCCTCCTCGAGACCCGTGTGGCCCCCCACGCTTTGATCAGCGCCAATTCAGCCTTGCTTCTTGCCGCGTTGTTGGTCCGGCGAAGCTCGAGCTGACCCATGCGCTCCAAGACCTCAATCCTTGCCTGCCTCTCTTGAGTGCTCTGGGCCGTCAATTCCACGCGCAGGTGGGTTTCCAATATCGGCAGCGCCTTCATGCGGTCCTCAAGCGACTCATCTAGCGTGCGCGCACCGGCGGCAACGAGGATCTGAGCTAGTGCGGCAGGCAGGTCCTCAGAATCATCGAGGGGAGGCAAAGATCCGCCTGCGCTGCGGTTATCCGACGATGCGTCGCCATTGATGGGGCACCAGGGGTCAGATTGACTGGGGAAGGGGAAGCGTTGGGCATCTGGGGTGGATCCATGTCGGCTGGCGCTCCTGCGGCTGGATTGATGGGCGCACGTCCTGCGGCGGGATTGATGGGCACAGCTCCTGCGGCGGGATTGATGGGTGGTCCTGCGGTGTCGGTGCGTGGTTCCCGTTCTTGAGCGTCCATCAGCTAAAATTCCCAAACCCAAATAGCACACCAAAGCTTACCTGCGGCGACAAGAAAACGCATAAACTGGTCCAGCACGTGGTCCTTGTAACCCTTCGTATCCCACTCAGTAAAGTCCTTGCCGGTGTCGTCGCCCTCCTTGCTCTTCGTTTTCCCAGCGTGCGAGCTCTTCAGGTCAAACTTTCCATCAACAACACGACCCGCGATCAAGGTGACATGATAGCCGGTGTACGCGCTCAGCGCTTGCAGCAGCGGGGCAACCACTCCTGTAAACTTGGCTCTGGCCCTGTCCGCTGCGCATTAGCAAATGTAATGCCTTAATCATCAAGAACGTACTCCTCCTGGTCCTCCGGCTCCATGCTCGGCAGGCCCTCGACTGCGTCCTGCCAGCGTCGCACCTCCCCCTCGTGTTCCAACTTGGCCTCCTCCCGAATCCGCTTCTTTACTTCGTCCGGCTCCGCCTCGAACAATTCGCGCGCCACGTCGCAGTGGCGAGCGAGATGCTCAGATGTTGGTGTATCCCAATACTTCTCGCTGAACGCCATGGCTACGGCGCCTTTGAAATCCTCGTGCTGCATATAGAATTGATAGTCTGTTATCCGTTTGGGGCTCTTGTCGTCTGGTCGGCGCAGGCGCGACAACCACGCCGTCCACGGATTCTTCGTCATTCCCAACGCAGTGTGCTTGTGATTGTACCAGGTCTTTATTTTCTGCGCGCGCTCACCATCAGCCTCCCGTGCTCATGGATGCGTCATCCCACTCACCTGCTTCGTATCTTCCATTATCTTTGCTTTCTTGGAGATCTCGTCCGCTGACAACCCCTGGTCTGGTGGGTAATCGGTGCCGTCAACTGGCTCTTCATTTCGGTCGAGTCGCCAGTTAAATTTGCGCCAATACTCATTCATGAGTTTAGGCCACCACAGGCGCGTCTGGCCCACTTTGGATGCGGCGAGATAGTCATCCAGGCAGCTCAGCAGAAATTCCAGCCGCAGCCCCAGGAAGTCTCCTTTATTTCCTGGCTTCTTTTTGACCTTTTTTTCCGCGGTTTTTTGTGAGCTATCGTTTGGAGCGGCCATAATGTTTGGGAGGACGCAAGGACGGCCAGTTCCCACACCCTTCAGTTCAGTCGACCTGTTCTAACTCATTACATTTACCAGTGCTACCCGCGACATCCCAAACCCATTATTACGCCACCTGGTGACGCCTCCGCGAGGTCAGCCGTCCAGAATGAAATCCCCGCTCTCGAAAAAAGTGGACGGCAATTCAAGAAAGATTCATTTCAGCTACGTCTCGATACGTCCGACTTGGGACTTTTGGTAATATCTACAGTAAAGGAAGTGCTTTCCGCCCGCCCGCGCACGTCAGAACCTTTCAGCCACTCATCCCCGCCCAAATCTTCAACGACAACTCGTCGCGACTTCCGAGGACGTGGATGACCTTCAAGTCCTGCGCCGCAGCTGCCGCGAACGCGTGCTCCCTGCAACCAGTAACCAGTCAGCAAAGCGCCCGAAAGGAACAAAAGCGCACGCAAACATACCTCGAGACCTTTGACGGCCCATTTCTCCACCGGTGCGAGCAAGGCGGGGTTGAGGTGCACGCGAGTCTCCATCGTCACGCGCGGGCGCGCATTCGGGCAAACTGGTCCATGCCAGCGGAGGCAGCAATCGGCCCACTCCCTCTCCGCATCGTCCCAGTGGTGTACGCCGAGCGAGCGCCCGTTGCGATAACCGCGGACGTTGTCAGTGGCTTTTTTACTAAATGTGCTTGTCAGTTTCAAGTTGCTGCGCAAGATGGAAGGGGACGCTTACTCCGAGACATAGGTTCCTTGGATGCGACCCAGGCACACGATGTAGAACTTCGACCCCGCATT